ACACACCACACACAGACACACAGACACACAGACAGGATCCAGCCCCCCCCTCCCTCCAACCGCCACCACCATTAGAGCTACTTTAACATTTAATAACCCAGATCTGATAGTTATTTATTTATTTATTTATTTGTTCTAAAAACAGGTTTTCATAAGTTGTACAACTAAAATAAATATGTTGGTTAAAACAAAACCACAATATTTGGGGATTGCTTGTTTTTTTCTTAATGGCTCGTCTGTTTTAACTATTGATCAGTAAACAGTAATGAATCCGTAAGCAATAATGAATCTGTAAACAATAATCAATCAGTAAACAATAATCAATCAGTAAATCATAAATCAGTAAACAATAATCAATATGTAAACAATGAATCAGTAAACAATCATAAATCAGTGAACAATAATGAATCAGTAAACAATAATAACTCAGTAATCAATAATAAATCCAGATTGAATGTAAGTGGATGTAGTCAGACAGTAATTCTGTATATACTATATTATATATATAATATGATAGTATATTATAATATAGTAGTATATATATATATAATATAGTGCAGAGTGCAGCAAATAAAGACTGAAGCCATGTTTCTCAGGTTGTCAGTGTAGTTCCTGCGGTTAGCCTCTGGGGGGCAGTGTAATATAACCCAGACCACATATAACTCTGTGAGTCCTCCACATCCAGGTCTTCCTGTGTCCCCCATCCTCACTCAGTGTCTCTCTCTCCTGTAGAAGTCCAACCGGCTCTACCAGGTCTCGGTTGGTCAGTGTCTCTCTGTCGCTCAGCCGGTCGGGCCCAAGGGTTACGTCTCCATGGCGATATGTGACGCCTCGCAGGGACAGCAGTGGCAGCTGGAGGCCTGATGACATCATAGCACTGTGTGACGGACGGATTCAGTCCGGCGTTGATGGACCCTTTAAATCTTTTGTGTTTTTACGGTTTTAGTTTTTTTTCTCTCAGGACGACTTTTATTAACCAGCAGCTTTTATTTGATTTTATGTTTTTAAAAAGTCATTTTAGTTTGAAAGGGTCCCGGTTTCACTTTCTGGAGGGATGATGGTCACATAGTCCGGAAAGAGCCTGAAATATTCAGAGGTCTGAAGTTTGTGGCACTTTTTGGCTGATTTGTGTTTCCGTTAGAACAACCAGAGCCGGAGCGTGCCCTGTTGGCGGCGCTGGCGTCTTGCGTCTCTGACCCTCAAACTCCACCGGGCTACAGCAGCGACGCGTTCCAGCTGCACCGCGGTAGCCACAGCCGATGGTGCCCTTCTAGCAGAATTCCCACGCTTCCTGGAAAACCTGGAAATTTATGAAAATGACCAGAATCCTGGAAATAATCTATGTCGTCCTGGAAAAGTTTGTTTTTAAGATTCCGATAATCAGAATCATTATTAGTTCATATTATTATTGATCACATTGGGGTAAATTAAAGTTCAGCTCAGAGACTGCAACCCGTTCTAGCAGAGCCCCCACGCTTCCTGAAACCTGGAAAACCTTGAAATGAGACTAGTTTTCCAGTGGTGGAAACAGCTGGAAATGGTCAGTGTTGTCCCTCAGACTGAAGCAGGTTCACAGACGTAGAACCGTCTGAAGTCAGTGCGCCGGAGAGACCAGAGGGTCGGCAGAGAGCGCCACGAGTAAACGCCGACCGGTAGACGTATCGGTGCTGGACCTACAGGGTTTGTGAGTGCTGTGAAATCTCCTATAAAATGATGTAAAAAGAGCGGGAACCCTGATCTCTGCGTCATAAAGCCGAACCCTGTGGAGCTCCAGGGTTTCATCTTCTGACTGAACTGAAATATCCACAGATAGAAAGATGGCCAACATGAATCCAGACCGCTACCTCTATAAACGAAGGCGGTTTATTTTAGAATCATTTTGGTTTTAATTACTTTTTGGAAGTTATAAAAAGAGGGTTTCATATAATGACTGACAGCTGAGCCCTGTGTGGCGTATGGGCGGGACCTCGATACGGTGCCGATGACCCTGATCACTAGTGCACTGACCCTGGCTTTGTTTCGGTACAGTGGGAGGAAGTGGAGATGGTGGCCATCTTTAATCTTTGTGGATGGTTTGGTTCTTTCAGATGTTCGCTGTCAGTTCTATGAGTCCAACATTTCATAATAAAGTCTTTAAAACAACCAAATAACCAGGACTTTTATTGTGAAGAACCAGTAGTTCTTGCTGCCGGTAAAGAGTCGCTCTGTTGTCAGACAGGGACACACAGGGAGTGTCACATATCAATGCATTATAAAACCCTGATGGTCTGTTCTGGACTCACCTGAGACTCACGTGAGGTTTACAGGACGGATGTGTTTACTACAGGTTCTGTAAGTTTATTTCAAACCTTTATTTCATTCACATTTCAGAGAAATTTATACGGAATAAAGTTGTTTTTTTGATAAAACAGAAAGCCAGCCGTCATGACACTTTGTGTTTATTACGGTATTGTTGTGTGTGTGTGTGTGTGTGTGTTGTTGGTGTGTGTGTTACTGTGTTACTGTGTGGTTCTGTGTAGTGTGTATGTGTTTACTTGTTGTGTGTCTGTGTGTCTGGTGTGGTTGTTGTGTGTGTGTGATGGTCGCAGTATTGACGAGTAGAGAAAGTTAATTATTTCGGGCTGACTCATTTCTACTGTTATTACACACGCAGTATTTAACCTTATTGATCTCACTGTTGGAATTTAGGGACCAATTGAGTTTATTGATTAACACACACACACACAGTAATAATGTATTTTATAATATTGACTGAGTATGGAGGACATAAAGTGCCAGAATTATAAATAAATAAATGACTTCCATTCAGTGCACCACAATAATAAAATATTAATGCTTAAATATTAATTTCCCTTTAGTCCCTGTTTAATTTGACATTTTATTAGTTCATTGATAAGTAATTTTACTTTGAATGATGAGTTATGTTTATTGTTTCATATTTATATTGAATTAACAGATTATTTACTTTAACAAATCCTGAACTTTGACATTTACTGTAAAAAAACAAAAGGTAAATTACTGTCAATATTCCAGCAGCCAAAAAATACAGTAAACAGAAAATAACTAATAATAATTCATATTTATTGTTCCATAAAGAGGGGACAACCTCTGACCGGCAGACAATGAAGTCACAAACAAACAAACATTTTATTTAGAAAAGTGTCCAAAGTCTTGGTTGCACAAACACTAACATCAATATGAAGACTATTTTTTAAAGACCTTCAGATAAGGACAGTGTCACATCTGGAAATCTCTCTCTCTCTCTCTCATATTAAAAGCTGCAGTACTTTTAACCTCCAAACCCCAAAAACCCCAAAAACCCCAACAAGCCCAAAAAGCCCAAACCAGCAGCGCGGTCTGAGCAACGTTTCCCACACTAAATAAATACAATGATGTGAAGATGTGTGTCTACTGTACGCCCACTTAAAGTACCTGCAC